GAGCATACAGTGTTTATTAATATACGTTGGGTAAGGGCAAACCCGTTATATATAAAAAAAAGAAATGTAAGATGTTAAACCCACACAAATTATACGTTTTTCCATTTCCTGACACTAAGGTCTGGCAGTGCACTCCATGGCTTTCCAAGTGTATGTAAACTTTCGAGCACATCTGTTCTTGTCTTCAGATCGGTCTTTCAGCGTACGCCATGTGCATGCAGTTGAACCCAGATAAGAAAATACTGGCCACACTTCTTGGTAAAGGAAAGCCCAAGTCCACAGATGACAGTGACAGTACGGAGGAGGAGGAATCAGGATCATCCAGCTCTGACGAGGAAGCCTAACCAACCTAAGGTGACTGATTTCTTGATGGTAGCCATGTCACCCCTGGGATGAGGTATGGGGCAAACAAGTTTATTTCAGTTACCATGGCAAGAAAAGACGAAGAAGAGTGCAGTTTTACAGGTTGGTAGAAAACCCCAGATATGAGAGAAAACCCAGGAAGTAGACAAGGACTGAAAATACAATCCCCATGTCGTCTGGGGCGGAATTCAAAATGGAGTTGAGGAGGCGAGGCAAGTTCCACTGTGCCAACCTGACACCCCTTCACTGGTGGTGCATGTATTTTACAGATAGTCTCCTTTCTTGGCCATGCACAAGATGGTTAATGCAGCGAATGCCCTGTGACTGGCTCTCGGTCAATTAAGAGGGGTTTGAAACTCATTTGCAGTATCTCCCTTGAAAATGCATCAACTCCACGGTTTGCAAATCTGTGGGGCACATCCAACAGAAGACACAGTGATAGCTCATCTTGGACATGACCGTCGATTCCAAAGACAAACCCTGCCACTGCAACTGCAAGACTGTACGTATATAAAAAGCTTTTCCCACTCAACCTCTTCAAGCCAAAAATGTTTACATCTTGCCTCAAGTCTTAAAAGTAATTCTCTAGTAAATAGCTTCAAAGTGAATATTTTTGTAACTGCATAAATGGTATCCTGTATTTCACGTACCTACATTGATTGCCTGGTATAGTTTCAGTACAAGCTTTATGAGATGGTAGTGCTTTTGATGCAGACGTTTTCTCTTCAGTAAAATGCACATTTGCACTCTAAATTAAAGTGAAATAGAACCATGTAACATGGAAATGAATGATTAAATCATGGTGCATGTATTTAAAGGTTCCTTGTTCAATGTTTCGTTGAATGATGTGCAGAAGTTTGTCAGGAAAGTAGATTAAGCCAGACTTTACAACTTGACTTGAAATTCTAAGCATGTCATTCTTTAGGTATATGGAGTAACCAGAACTTAAGAGATTTACTAAAGTACTGAGCCAGAAGTAAATACGGCTGTAGACACACCTCGACTTAATGTGATTCGCTGTAGAGATCAGAATACTGTCACCGTTCCCACCAAGTGATTAAGCGTTTAAACAAATATTAGGAAGCCTGTCACAAAGTATTCCAGTACGACTTTTAAAATGTCAGGAAAAAAATTGAAAAGATGCATTCTCAAAGATTGCAGAAAATTACATTGTGTGGGAAGGATTGCCTATTACTGAATCCCTGTGATCAAAATTACCTATAGTAATGCTTCTAGTACCTTTGAAACAGAAGCTCCAACTTGTTACATCTTTTGTACCTGCCAAGTCTGGCATAGAATTTGTAATGTAATTCTAGAACTGGTTTTTGACATATCTGATTTTTAATTTACATGTTTGTGCCTCTTTAGATGTTTATAGCTTACATTTTAGAAAATGATCAAAACTTTCATTCTCAAATTTTGTATTGTGTGCTTAAAAAATTGTATTGTCGGATGTTTGCAGGAGATTGGTGAGAGGAATGGCATGTACAAGAAGATTTGGTTTGTAATTTACATTGTGAAATAGTGGATTGAAAGAGATGTGAAAGTTCAAAGGACTTTTTGGATCCCTTTTTTTTGGAGGGGAGGATGTTTTTCAAAGCCCAGATATTTTTATATATTATTTGATGAAAAGAATTTTATTTTATGAGGATGAACTTAAATATTTACCAAAGGAAATCATTGTCACTTCCCCAGTAAAACAAAATTTGAAACATAGTTCATGTACTGTTATAATCTTTTTAAAGACATTTAATAAACAGCTTTTTTTCTGTAGAATTTAACTGAAATATACTATAAGCCTAGGATATTGACCAAGGTAGAAGCATGAAATGCGATTTCCTTAACTTGACTATTTAAAGCAGTCTTCTGAAATTAAAAATTTTCTTTGTTAATGAAATGAATACAAAGTTGATAGGGTGCTTATGAATTGTGAGGTCGAGTCTGTGGGCCGGTTACTGAGATCCAATTTTACGGGTACCTGTCTTGCTGTTGATTTGATTTTGTAAATCACCTGTGAGTTGGGATGTAACTAGTGGATTCGAATTGACTCCCACCCCAACTTTTTTTCTCTTTTTTGGAAAGCACCATTGTATTTGTTATCCAACCAACGAAATAAGTGACAAGTCACGAAAGTAACTTTTGAAGTGTAAGCCATTTAAAAGAATCTTGCCCTATGTACGTAAATCAGAAGAAAGCCTCAACATGTTTTACCCATAAATTATCCATTTTCGTATAATCAGGATGCCAAAATAGATGATACTAAACAGAACTCAAATTTACTCTTTCCAGTGTAAAATAAACCAGAATTAACTACTCATTTTTGTGGATCTGGTTAATTTTCTGTGGTGCTTGGAAGGGTTAGGGTTCTTTCAGGGAACTAGTTCTTGGTGGGGTCCATAAAGTGGGCCCCCTAGTTTTTTTATTTTTAATTTTCTTTTTTATGTTAGTGGTTGATCGATAGACGTGAGTCGTATTCCTGTATGTACAGTTTAAATTTGAAACCCGTAATGGGATGGTACCAGGTAATTTTGGGGGTCGGAGTGAAATCGTAGAATATAGTCTGGCTCTTTGAATTTAACATTTTCAAATAAATACACAACGTAGTGGAATATGACCGAAATTGCGGACGCCGCGAGTACGGTCTATTCCGTCCAATCGTCTGTAGCGCCCTCAGATAGTAGAAAGAACCATTTAGAACTTTTGGCAAATCGTATCAGTGCATTCATTTCAACTAGTAAAAAGGGGTTTTTGTTCAGTTCATTTTTTAAAAGTACATTTATGAAAATTGTCTTATTTATTCTTAATAATTTCGAAAATCAGGAATGACGCTTACATCAACTACTAGAAATAAAAGTCACACCAACTGCGAGTAATAAAAAAGTGGCACGTGCTATGCCTGGTTTCGCACGCGCGCAGATATAGCTATAGATGCGCAGTCTGGTCGTCCAGTACTAGTGCATGCAGTGTGCATGGTCAGTGCAGAACAGCTGAACAGCGTGGTGTGGAAGCTTGGAAAGTTTTCTGAATGCAGTTGTTCCTGAACAAAAATACAGGTTTGTCTTAAAACCATTTATTTATTCACTACTTGGAACGTAATTCAGGGAAAATACAGGAAAAAATTCCATACTCTTTGACTACTTCAATCATCGCCAGATCATTGGTCGCAACAGTCCAACGTTAGCCTAGCCCAGGCCTATGTAACTGCCACAGTGACATGCCTTTGGAAAAACTGGCAAAATGTGGGGGACAGCAAATGTAAAATCTATGTGTTTCGATTCATTTATAAGAGCTGTAAGGGGTGTTCATCTGTTGTGAGCCAAGATCTTTCTTAGGATCTAAACAGAGAGAAATATGGCATATGAAATTGACATTTATTTCAAAATAGGGAAAGTTTCAACTTAAAATATGTAGGGCATAGGCCTACATCATTTGTACATGTATGGACGCCACTTGACACCCTGTGCACATAAGTTATGGTCTGAAAAATTGCATGTAGGCCTAGGCCTACATGTATTTTCTAAGATTTTTCTGGACATTTTTTTGCTTTCTGACAGTTAATACGTCGAGGTAGAGAGTAATTACTGCCATTAGTATATGGAACTCTTCCCCAAAATAGAGATGTCTCTAATGTTCTTTCAGGATTAACCCTTAAATGTTAACTTTGCATGTCATAAAGAAATCAACAGGTTGGGGGCCAAACCACAATCTAGTGACAACGCTAGACCATGCATATAGGCCTACTGCTTGATTGTGTGACGATGATGTTAATTTCTGAGCAATTTCTCTGATCATTGTTTGCAGATGACATTGAACTCTTTATCGAGGAAAAACTTCAATACAAATAGGGGCCTTGCTCTGATTGCTAAAATTTGCATGAAGCTTGCTACCCAGGATCTAAATGAAACTTTCCTTTTATTTGGACTCTGTAAAAGCAGATCCAGGAGATATTTTGGTTGAATCTTGCATTGGATGTGTTGAATTTTTATCGATGGGTAGGCGAGTTCCGAAAATGAAACAGTTATTGGGAGCAAAATAAAGTTTTGCTGAAGCTTACTGTATGCACAGTTGCCATTACAGATCTCCATTGCTTTACCATGGCAATTTTATGATGGAGGTTTACCAAATTAGCCATCAAAAATAGTTTTGCCATACTGATAGACTCCAAGTCCACTGGTAACGCCATGATGGCAATGTTGGTTACAGGTACTTCCATTCAGTGACCAACCATAGATGGGCTTTCATTTTGATAGGGGTCAGGAAAACAAATAGGAAAAGAGAGGAGCTGTGTTGTGATTGGTTAAGCTGTCATACAGCTGACAGTGATTGAGAATGCATGCTCCTGATTTTCTGTAATGTGGATGGGCAAAATGCTAATGAATTTCACCATTTTAATGAGGATGTAAGGTTAATGAACCGTGCCCCTCCATCAGTTGACATCACCAAGAAGGCATGTATGAAAATTGCTATCTTTAAGGTTTGTATAAACCTGACAGATCTGGAAGTACGCTACCGGCATGATTGTTTCATTATTTTCCCAAAATCTTGCGGTAAAATCATTATCACGTAACCTGATAAAAATGAAGCCATCGCTGCTTGAACAAACGACTTTAGCAGAAACTAGCAATGTCCCCGACCCGGTCAATCCTATCACAGCAAGTTAACTTGGGTAGGTCTGCCTATGGAGTTGAACCAATTCTGAAAAGAGTATTTTGTGCAAGTACCTTTCAATTTTTATCAAGTTATTTGGGAAAAGTGAGAGAAAGTAAACAGTTTGTGCTGCATTTTTTGTTTGGGCTTTATGTTTAACTGCCTAGCTGCAGCATGTATAGGGGTAGGTCAATGTCAACATGTATTTTGGGGCGTGGCATTTTGCAGGACACACACAGTACATCTTTTAACAGTCAAATGGTTGCAGAGGAGGAAAATGTATATAAAACTACTGTCATCGTCCAACTGCGATTTCAGTTACGTTCCAACGCTCTGCAGCATGCATGACATGTACATGTACCGTAGGCACCTGTAGGCACCAAATTGCAGTGGTCACACACAGGCAGTTGGACAGCTGTTGATGTTGACACTCTCTGAATCAAATCCACCCGCCAGGTGACTTGTGAATATTCATGAGATATTCTATTTACCCAGCAGTCTGGCGAGCTCAGGCTGGCATCCGTTGGGGGAGGTCCTATTTCAGTGACACACTTGGCATTGTGAGGGTCGGATGTGTGACCTAATTAAAAAGACAAGTATTTTTTTATCCTTCTAAACGAGAAGGACCAGGGTGATTACACAAACGGACAGTCCGTTGTAAATGTATTTTAATATGTGATTTTGAACCACTGAATCTCTAAGTTTTCTGTGGTGATTATTCCATTGAATAGCCAACAGAGTATATGATGTGAACACCCCTTGTAATGGAATGGTAGCTCCCATTAAGTGACCTAGACAGGTTCAAGCACTGGATCCAGTGAACAGTGACCTTTATGTCATTGTGCATTGCATTTGCTCTGTCTTCTGGTTTACAATACACATGTGTGGAAATGGAATGACGGTTATAACCAGGCAGTCAATTGAAACTGTACAGGAAATGAGCATGCTATAATTACAGTGATTGGGGTAGAAATTGGCATCTACTCCAAGAAAGGGAGTTCTACCAGATGATTGTTTGATTAATTGGTTACTGAGGACATTCAGGAGGGGCATGGTACAACAAATTGAACAATGATGAAGTTGAGGAGTTCCAGATTGACACGCCAGCGGTCATTACAGACCTTGGAGGAAGGAATACATGCACAGACGCAGGATAAATCCCCATTCTTGCCTCAAACGTCTGTTGAAGATGGAACCAGGTAATGTTGGCACAAGGGTGCAGGAAATGCTCATTTTCATTCACTACATGTACCGTTTCAGATTCATTGGGCTTGCTGTTCTGCCTCTTTAGAACGAAGAGCTTTGTCGTTTTAAAAAACTGTGGATACATATTCCCAGGTGCTGGACTCATGCTGTTTGAATTACTCGGGGAGGGGGGGGAGACTAGGTCATCCGTGGACAGAATCGTCGCCTGGTTTGCCAGTCGTTCCTGTTTTTCTTACGAATGGCATTATGGCAAGGTGACAGGGTTGGGGTAGGCTTTGCCTTTTAAATTGTTCACAACAGGATATCTGGGTGAAGTTGTCTTGATTTTTAAAATCCATCGTTTCATTTCAATTTTTACGCCTTGTAGAGTGTTGCATCTAATAGTATGCTCGTGGGTGTTTGGGTCTGTTAAGTTTCTTAAGATAACAATGTGAAATTGCAGTTTCATGACAGTCATGACAGTGTACCAGTGACCTTGGATATACTATGATCAAATATCAAAATCTAGTTTTATCTCTTTTGCCCCATCCACATCTTTTATCAGAAAAACTTTAAAACACTGTTTGTAATGTTAAAACCAACATGCCAAGGAATATTCCATTACTGACAGAGATGGTCCTGGGGCAGAACTCAGCACTGAAACTGAGCGGGTCTGTGCGAAGCACTCTTTTGTCATGTTGGAAATTTTCATGTTACAAGAACACAGTGCATGTACAGTGCGTACATACATGCACCAGACACGTAGACCTCTGTTTACTTCTGTACTGTCAACTTTTTAATATAATAGCTCCATGATGAAACACCGTACACATGATGTCACATTCAGAAGGACCAGTACCTCCATACCAGGCAAGATATGGGACGGAGGGATATCCCCCCCCTTACCTGTCCAATCCCTATACACACTCTAGACTATTGTTACCTAACACATCCCCCCTAGAAGTCTGTAAAGAATTCCTGAGATTCCGATCAAACAATGACCAAAACAAAGGCGGGGGGGTTCTCTCCGTCCCATATCTGGCTTTAAATGAGTACCTCAGTGTAGACCTCACAACAAAGTTCACGCACCTGCACATGACAATGTTATGAGTGTGTACCTGTACATGTACTTTATCCTTTTGTGTATCCATGCGCCCACTCACTCATCTGGACTTTACCTTTCTGGTTGAGGGGTGGGGGGTTGGTGCTAGTTAGCTAGGGATTAATAAACTCATACTATTTGTCATAGGTATGAACCAGTGTGAAAACACCTCCTCATTGAAGCTCTGTAAACTCCCTGTGTGTTTATCAGCTTTGCTAAGATGGTAACATAATGCATGTAACTGTCACTGTTTGCAGGTTGGATGATGCACTTTTGATAGGGGCATGTATGGATTAAAGGAGCAACTTCCTTATATTAGCTGGCAGTTGGCAAAGCTACTGAGCTCAAGTTGTTTCCATTGCCACATGTTGCGTTACCACTTTGAATTTGCAGGGTGCCTGTACTACATCAGCCAATTTGCCAAATACATTTGCCACAGATAAGAAGAGAAGTGGTTATTTTTGATAACCTCTGGAGAACCCAGCTGTCACAATTTTCATGACAAATGACAAATACTGTATGACGGTCATAATGTGAAACACATTTGTAACAGGAGTGGAAGTACATTTACATTGTATGTGTGCTTTCACCTTGGCACGCGTATACTTAAATTGAGCTATGGAAGAATAAAAAAAAATGTTTCAGATAATTACCACTGTCTGCAGGGCTTATGACAACTGACAAGACTGATTTTTCTGTTTGTTTGTGTGCTTTTGTTTGAGGGAGAAAGATAGGATTGCGCTGTTGAAGCAGATAAAAGTTCCATGATTAAATTGGTCCAGGAATGTTTGCACTTTAGATATTACATTTAAGTTGCATTATGTGGGATAATGGCTTTGTCACCATGTTGGATTTCATTAAATCCTTGACACGTTCTTTCCTTTTACTGAGTATTCACTTCCAGGATCAAACACACTATTTAGCAGGTGTTGGGTTTTTTAGATAACTACTCAGTCATCGTTGAACTGTTAATGACTATTATGTTGTTCAAGTGCGTGTGCATTTGTATGAGCGTTGGACATGCTCATGGTTTGACGAATCATTGAATCTATATATGTTTTACATTATAACATATCAGTATGACCCGTAGATCCTGAAGATTCTTAAATCACCTTCAAAATGTGGATGATTTTGCAGGATTGGGGCTATTTTCTTGGATTTTTCTGATGCTGAAATTGTACTGGAACTGTACTACAGGAGTCACGGTACACGTATAAGAACAGATGAGCTTTACATAGTGAGGTGTCTGTATTGTACATGTACATGTACAAGACATGCACGTGGCTGGTGTTAATGTGTGAGATGTAGAACCAGTGTGCTTTGCTGCTTATCTGTTATATCCATGTACATGCATGTTGGTAAACATGTACCGGTACCCAGGTACTTGTAGGCGCCTGTAGGTCTTCAAGCATAGTCTCTGATTCAGAGAATGTTTAGGAGTTACATGTATGTGTTCAATATGTATATGTTTGTGCTTTAATTAACCCTAACACTCCTCAGTCCTCCAGCAGGTGAAGGATTGAGGAGGGTAAAGGTTAAGGACTCTGTGGCACGCATGGCTTTGTACACGGTACCAGGACTTCTTGAGATTGTACGTTTTTATGAGATACATGTACATGTAATTATTAGAATGGACTGAAAGCCACATGTTGCAAGCAGCTGTGTTTCTTGGAACATCTCGACTTGTCCTGCTGCAGCGTTAACAACGCATGTACAGGTACGCACGTTTGTAGTTAATAGCTACATTGTAGCATATACATGTATCTTGAGGCACATGGATCTTGGACAAGATCATCAGATTATCCCAGACCAGCTGTACCCTACAACCAAGAAATCAATATTACCTCCACGGTTATAGACCTTGTGACTACACCCTTTATCCTGAGGGCATTTGATATGACCTGCTAAGCCCTTGAAGACAGATTAATTGGCTGTTTGTTATACTGTAACCCTGTTTAATGCATTGTTTTCAGTAGGGTGGGTGCTGACACATGCACATGTATTTGTGTACACCAGTCATGGATTTAACTGTGTAGAAAGGACAAGTTGGCTTTGTGTGTGGTGGTAACACAGTTCAAAATTTTAATACCTTTCAACATTCTGAGACTTAGTTTTTGTATGAACGGTTGCATTCCATGGCCCTTTGACACCCTCTACATGTAATGATAATGGTATAGTATCGAATATTTATAACGCACCGGTATCCGCCTCGAGAGACGCTCGTGCACTGGTACATGTACATTGTTCCTGGCTTACAGTGTAATTTTTGAGCTTAACAATGATTGAGTTGCTGGATACTGGATCATATCCATTTGTGTCAAATTAAAATTGTTCACTAGGCTTATCTTTCCAGGCTATTTGTAAAGCAGGAATAATTTCACAGCTACCAATGAAAAGCCAACCCATTATGCCTGCCCAACCCCCCCAGAGGGCTTGAATTGGCTTATGAAATGATAGCAGTTTGGGCATGGACACGTTTTTGTGGAGGTTTTGTTTTCAAACTGAGACCTGGAAGACACGGTTCGCTTCCCAGTGGCGTGTAGTGTGAATAGTCTCCCTCAGTTGAAGAGCTAGACTTTTCTCTTAAGTCAATAGTGTTTGAGAGTAAAACACACACAGTACGCTGCACACATTGTAATCACGCCTCACCCACTACTGTGTCTATCAATTGGTCAGGCTAGGGGAGCATCTATAGCGGTCTATTTTTTATTTCATGGTGCAGTGCAAAAAAAAAGCCACATGTGTCAGCCTAATTCTGGAAAGTGTTATGTGGATTGAGACCAAAGCAAATTTATTTTCATTTATGTAACTGTACCATTGGAAAGCTGCATTCTCTGGTGCTGTGTGTGTATTTTTTGGCTACTTGAACTGCGTGCGAGTGGGATACCAGAATACAGTATGTTTGCAAATGTGCACACAGTTTTCTGGGAGGAAAATCTGGAAATGCCCAAGTACATGTGATTTTTTATTTCCCGTACTTTGAAATTGAAATACCGATCGAGGAACATTTGCAGCAGTGAACATGTGCAACGTACATGCACGTAGATTTATTGGTTGAACACATGGTTCAGTGTCTATACATGTACGTATTGTATAGGTAGCTACATGTATCGCCTTGGGAGGCCAGTAAAGAACTCTGAAGCATTCATTATCTGTACATGTATATGTACATATAATGTTCTCACATGGCCCCAATATTGAAGTGTGACTGTCTTGAAAATTGAAAAAAAAAAGTTTCCAGTGCACACAATGTGCATGTGCGTGTATGAGGGAGCAGGTAGCCTTCATTTTTACTTGCCTATTGTACCATTACCAATCTCATTCTCTGGCATTGTTTACCAAATCAAATGTATGCAGTTTGTTCAGTAGAATCCTCGGGGAACAAAAAAAAATTAATCAAGATTAGAGATTTGGAAGTGAGTTACATGTGATATGTATCGTATTTGTCCTTGTCATGTAATACCAGAATCCTAGCACTCTCTTCCCCAAACCCTGATAACAGCCCTTTCGGATTCCAGAACATAAGGAATTAAAATAATGAACACCTTTCCACTGACTCCACATGAATATTTTGTGAAATGCCAAGTTTCATAGGAACAACACCAGAGGATTGCCAAGGGTACTTGATTGAATTAGAAGCCTGCCAAATCTGTATGCAATAAATGGGTGATCTCAGCATGTGCACACACACAGTCGTACAAGGAGGGTAATTTAATGGATTGGCAAGCCTTATTAACTCCATCACCAGACCGAAACTCGATGTCAGAAGATTTGATCGTGGATATCGTTTTGACCAACCAGTATCACTTAACTGAGGTTGTGATTTAACAGAACTAAAATTACTGTGGAGTTTATGATCTTTAGTGACCGTAAACAGTGCTAGTTGATAGCTGAATGTTTGATGCAACCGAGACACTCGCTGTTTTATGAGGGAGGTTGCATGTGAACATTTTGTCAGAGAATGTAAAACTGATATCTTGGCTTTAAAACCAACTTTATCGCCCAATCAAAAGTTGGGGTTCCTTCTTATCGAACACACCATTCCATATCCTTATTTCTCTTAGGAGAGATAATAGAAATCTGCCTAAAGGGTTAATGAAACTGAGTTGGCAGAAACCAAGTATGATATGGACTACAATGAGAAATTACATGTAAATACATGCGGGGTAACCTTTTGGAGTAATGCATGAGTGACCATCATCAGCTGTGCTGGGTAACACACCTGGAGATCACTCGTGTCACATCACAAAGCCGCGGGACTGAAGACGTCACAAGATTAGTGCCAACCTCTTCTGGATCGTCATAGTGCCGGTTCATGTTCTACGGGTACTCTGGTACATCCAGCTGCAAAACAAGTTGTGCTCCAAGACAAAAATCCCCCTCCAGAATATTTATTGCTTCAAACCATGTCCAATGATTGTCCAGCTCTTTTTCTTTGAATTGCTGCTGAACTGGTTTAAGGAAATTACTGACTGTTTTGAAAACCCAGTGTGTAAATGTTGGTCTAGCCAGGGACCGAGGTCGATACAACACGTGTTATCCACAGGAACCATCTGTCTGTTGGATCCATCTCGAATTGTCATTTCCTGTTGTCACAGTGGATAGTGAAATACAGGACGAACCCTAATGTTGGGGTTCATTCATTACGCCAGCTTGTCTTCCTGTTGTTTTACCCTGATGGTGTCTACAGTAGTGTGAATCATAGCGTGGCGATACACGTGGCATTTTTCGAGGGTTTCTTGTACCACCAGTTCCCCAGGTCTGTTTTTGAACTGAACTCGAGCTGTTTTACAGGTACAGGTGAGTGTGATGCACAGTTTTTGTGCCCTCTTGCAAGTTGGCGTTGACTGTTGCAGAACGGCTATGCACTGCATGTGAAATTCACACAATGTACAATGTACATGTATTCTTGGTGCTGTGTTATCCATGTCGATAAAGGGCTGAAGTTGTGGTTTGAAAAGTGCATTTGAAGTCTTGCAAACATGGAAGCTCCATCACCATCAGCTGCTCAAATTCCACTCATTCTCAAAAACTACTGTAAAACTGGTAAGACAATTTAAACTGAATTGTGCTGTTGAGAAGGCAAGCTTTTTTTTGGGGGGGAGGAGAAAACTCTTGGTGCAAATTTTCCGTGCCAGTTTTACGCCTCTTTTGGAGCAAATACCATTTAAAAGGGACCATTCTATGCCATACTGTTCCAACAAAAACTGACCAAGCCTGAACCATTTCCGAATTTCTGATATCTGAGACACAATTACCAGGTAGACAGTGAAGAAAATAACCAACACAAGTGAAAGGCCATGCGCATGTATTCAATCATCACTGTTCACTGGGCTTGTTTTGCACGGATACACGTGTATTTGGCTTGGCCCGACTTTTTTGCCCTTTCCTTCCTCCTCAGCATGCATAATTACCCTGTGTCAGATGTGTTCTGGTCTGCTTGACTGCTTTGAAATGTGTGTTCTTTGATGTGATCATTAATAATGCGAATAATACATTTTAATTGGTGTTGCTGATGAGTTGGTTAAGCCAGCAGCTAGGACGGTGTAATCCAATGTTATTGAATCAGATCCAGCCATACTGTATGGCACTGTGTACATGTACAGTATTCTGAAAGCCCAAATCACTGTGTAATTTAGTCATGCATCTATCGCTCATAGAAAACATGATTGTATTGTACGTGTGTGACTACATGTAGGCTTGAAAGTAGTTGAAACAAGTTGATTCAGTTTGGAATTTCAATTTACACCGTGTACATGTAAATGATGATACATATGTGCAAATTTAATTCCTATAGATGCAAGCAGGAAGACTTTTGAACGGCCTTGCTGTTGTCAAACTTCTGTTTTCATATTGACGCAGTACTCTTAATTTGTGTGAACGCAAGGTGTGTTTAGAAAGGATTTGTCAAAGATTAGTTATTTGAATAAATGTTGAAAGATTCTGTTTTTGTGAAATATTTTTTCTCGTTGGCATGCATGAAGAAAAAGCTTTCAAAGTACATGTAGGTGTTCTTACATTTTGACAAACGGTAACAACAATTATTTTCTATTTTAGTGACAAGCCAAGATTGAAATTTGACTCGCCAGAGAAAACGGAAGAGTGGCTAGCATCGAGGTAAGTCTTGAAATAAAATGATCGTGAGAAAGAGTGTATTTCTTTGAAGAGATGGCATGGCTATTGCAGTGAAAAAACTTTAATTCACTTTGCCATCACCGCTGTTTGACTTTATCCATGGTGACCGTTTATAACAAGAAACATTAAATACATGGACACTAATGATGGCTCACCTGGGGGGTTCTTCCATACATACAAAAAGGGTACAGGAAAAGTGTAATAACAGAAAAATCTGTTTTAAAATTACGATCTTCAAACGTTCTGATATCGAGGATTATTTAAATTTTTACTCACAAATGTCTCAAATGTGTACATGAGGCACCTGTTTATAGATGATTCCAGTTGTAAAGGATTTCTATTGTTCCTGTGTAATCATTGAATCCTACATGTGAACATATGAGCATGCACTCACCGTGGACGTGTAATGGACCTTTCCCATGAAATATGCAAATTGGACGGGCGCATGCGCGCTACTACCACTGGTTGGCAAGTGCAGCCGTCAACACTGTCGGTAGGGTAGGCGAGCTGCTAGTTACCATAACCTGGACCATTGATGGTCAATCCAAACCATATTACAGCCTTTGCCTGATACTTGAGCACGTTTTTCATGAAACTAAGTGAAGTTTTCAGTGTCCAGAGGTTGGAAAGTAACAGTTCCTTGTCTTTAAGTTTGGCACTCATGTCAAACCGTACTAGCACAGAAACGGAGATAGTGACGCGCGCATGGAGATTTATATTATTACAAATCAAAGATTTAAGCAACTTTGCCAACCAGTGATAGTAATTTGCATGCACCTGCTTTATTTGCATATTTCATGGGAATGGTCCATTGCGTCTCTAGGGACACCCCTAAAGTTGATGAACAAATTTTGTAGGAAGGTTAACTTTGCATTGTTACGTATGTTTCATCAAAAGCCTGATCTTTAGTCTGTATTCATTTTAAAGAAATCCATTGGTTTAACATGACCGTTTTTTGACTGAGTATGGTGAAAGACAGAATGGTTTCACTCTTAAACAGTATTTTTCACTGTACTTTAGTGATTTGCCTGGTTTAACCAGCGCACCATAACGCTGCCGATAACTGGGAACCAGACTGATAACAGAATGGCTTGGCCAACTGTACGTGCACTCATGGTGCTAGTTCTTGGTCATACTGTATGCACTGTACTGGGTCAGACACAAGCACATGGCTATTTGTAGAGTGCACATTGGTGTCCCTCGATCGCACTCGATGTGTGCCTGCTTCAGTCCACAGAAGGTATAAGACATGTCCAAGCATTCGTGGTACATTTCAATTGGATCCCTTTCACCTCCCCCCTCCCATCATACAACTTGTTCATTAATGTATCGTTTGTCACGCAAGGTTAAGTGAGAATACTATCTGCCCCGTACTGAAGTGCACCATCATTCGGCGAAAGAAAAACAGGTGGTTACAAGCGGGTTCGTGCATGCGTTCTGCATGTCCGCAAAGACATACATGCTGCAATAAATTAGTTATGCGTACTCAGCGTGTCAAATGTGCATATACTTGCGTGCTTCATGCGGTGAGCACATGTACCAATAAAACACACCCTCTTTTGTTCCGCTCGTAGCAGATTGTCAACAGTATTTAAACAAGTCCAGTTCCTGTACGATTTATGAGCTGTAAAAATGCAATGAAAGTGAACAGTATTTCATTAACATGATAGGCGTCCAATTCAGTTACGGAAAGCTCCTGGTATGATCCTTGGGCCCATAACAGAATTTGGACCGGCCAGAACTGTTTTGTCTAGTGTTGTAAATTTCTGATAAAATGTAGATTTGGGCTCTTTTTGCTTTGTGCAGGGAGAAAACAGACTACACATATGCCAGAAGGTATGTACCGTTGGTTGGTTATAGAGTCATATTGATGAGAGAAATGAAGTGCAATTTTTTTCAGTTTTTATTTTGTAGAAATGCAAATTTGTTTCTAGTGATGACTCCTAAACTAAAATACATGTACATACCGGCAGGCTTTAGTGTATGGGGTGATTATTCAAATATGCAAATATTTGTCCATCCATTTAATTGAATATGCAAAAGCAGAAACATTCACATTTTGCTTGCAACACCTTGAAATATGCTTATAGAATGCAGTTTTGTTTATTTAACCCTAACAGCCCTCAGTCCTCCAACAGGTGAAGGATCGAGGACTGTTAGGGTTAATATTTTTTTATTTCCCCGATTTTAAGCTCCCAATATTCAGTGTTGGAAATAAATATACATGGCAATCAAGCAAATATTCATGTATTCAATTATTCTGCGCATCCCTATTAGTGTGGATATATATCAGAGTTTTGTGATGGAGAATTAAGTCACATATAAAATTTTACCCTGTTTCAAAAATAAAAAAACAAACAAATTTTCCGTCCCACATACCTGCTTGCTACCGTATTTCATTTTGATAATTTCTACCAAAATATTACTGCATGCGTCATGTTATCTCATTTTTATTGAATGGATGTAACATGCAGTGCATGGCAAGTTTAAATTCTTTTTTCCCTTGTAACCGGCAGTGCAAGCTATACTTCCAACGGCTTGTACAGCTACGAGATTCCCATTATGTCTCGGGTGTCCCGCGATTCTTTTGTTCGAGATGCCAGCTTGGCATCCAGACGTCGAGAGCTCCAGCGAGAGGTGTCAGCGAGCCCCAACAGACGCAGTAGCCGACTGGCCAAGAAGTACGGCGTGCATGAGTCCTCTTATGAATCAAGGTAAAAACCACGAAGGTGGAAGCAGTCTGTCAGCTCAGTATTCCAACAGAACATGCCCAAAATGATGTGCACCTGAGGTCGTTCAGGAATAGTCATACGTGCACGTAAGGTCTTACCCTATTAGCGCGGCCATCTGTCAACTCACCTGTGTGCTTTGTTCTTAATTGGCCTTGCCTTTTTGAAATACTTGACTGGCTCACTGAAAATCCCAACATCCCTGCCCACGTGGATTGTTGTCACAAAAGAGAAGTTGATAGGACGTTTTTACCTTGCAGAATAATTTTCTCCCCAGTTGTCACCACCAGCTGTTTGAAAACGGATGACCAAACTTCCTTGGGGCAATTCTCCAGAAGGGTGGAAATTCAGTCACACTGTTTGTGTCCTTATCTTTAGTCATAATTCACAAAGATAGAAGTGTTCCCCCCCCAAAAAAAATTGGAATTGAATGTAATAGTGCTAACAATTTCTGTCTTTGTTTCAAAATACATGTACTTTTATCTTAAATTAAGAATAACAATGAAATCAGTAAACAGCTTCACCATTTTTTGACAAGGAATCACCTCTGGATCATTTGACATCTCTTGGAAAATGAGAGAACCTTGCTAGAAACCAGAGTTTGGAGTACAACCACTTTTACTTAATATACACTTGATGATATGCCATTGGTTTCCTGCACAGTTAGGGATTTCAGAGGATCCGGGAATTTCCAAGTTTCAGGATTGTGACTTAGTGAAAGAATTGTGTTGTTTGTAGAGTGAACCAGTCGCAGACCCTTTCCTCGCTTCAAGTGAGCCATAATGAAAGCCACAGCACCACCAACATGCAGACAGCTTCTTCCAGCAGTCGCTTTGAGGAGGATGAAGCCACTTCAAGTGCAGACTCAGTCTGGCCGTCCTCCGCATCGACCGTGGCGTCATCAGCATCGCAGATGGCATCGTCGTCCCGTGTGATGCGAGGGTCGGGCGCAACGGCACGGGGAGGAACGTATCAGGTTCAGAGGGAGCACTCAATCAATCATATGTATGGTAAGAAGACTTGTTATTGTCTTTAAATGCCTCACTGCGAAAGCAGATATTGCAGAGCACCGCATCCCTCTTTCTGAAGATCTCAGTCAATCTTTAACATGACATAGCGAGTGGGATTTCATCAATCAAAGGAGTACTTAATTTAGAACAAAATTATGGAAGAAACCTAAACAAGTGTAAAGTTTGTTGCAGTGCCGTAGACTGAGTGTTTATATCAAGATTAAGTTTGCATTTTCATTAAATATGGATCTTACTTTTCTTGTTTACATAGGGGTGTGAGAATTCAGCTGTTTAGCTGATTTCAGCTTTTTTTGTTGAGATGTTGACCCTAAACATCGGCTTTTTTGTATACCTGGTCTGTACAAAAGTATAGGAACTTTTTACATTTCAGCTTGTTGCTAGATGTTGTCAGCTTTAGTTTTAAGTGGCCACTCACTCCCGTGTCTACATCATTATTGTCTTTGCAGGGCTCGATGCCAATGAGGAAAGTGAAATATCAGGTAAAGATTTCAGACTAGACATCCATGCTCTATTTTGTGACTAAAACTGAATTGCCCGCATTGGTTCATTGTATGCTGGGCAAATACCATATGTATGAACGAATAGTGAAAAAAATCGCTGTTTTAACACTAACAGTCCCAAATCCTCCAATTTCAATACGATTTTACATACACCCTTAATAGTGATAGGGTTACTAGTGATAGTTATCAAATAGTTATCGTGTAAAATTCATATTCCCTAACAAGTTAGCATTGTATTTTTCATCAAGATACTGAATCCAGCTCAGCAGTGACTTCAGGCCTGAGGTACAGAACGTCAGGCCGGTGGGGCACCGTTGACCACTCCCACCACACCCAGTCTTCTTCCACCCTGTTCTTCCCCCTGTCCTTCATCGTCACCGTCGTGACCTCCTTGGTATCAGTCATCACCACCGTGACCTACACCTCCTATACATTTCTTGCCAGGGCTGTCTACGGCTCGTCCACTGAAACCTCAGCAAGCACTGCATTGACAAGTTCTGTGTCCTCTAGAATAGGTAACACTTAAATAAGACCGTTGTCACGTCTTAGCACGGTTCTAGGCAAAAACATTGTATACTGTTTTACTGCTGTTTTCCCTGTTAAAATGCACACGGCTTGAAGCACATTTCTGTTGGTTTAACTCAACTGTGCTGAAGTGAGGATAAATCCTACTTTTATGGCCAAAAATGGGCTCTTTAATTTTGGGGCCTGTTGTCTTTAGCTGTCAACCTGAAAGTCTCTGTTACCGCTAGTGATGTTTATTCATTTCCCTGGGAAGTGTATTGAAGTCATACACCCGTGCATGAGATGAGCATGTCTAGATCATGTCAGAATTGCAATTGCGCAAGCAGTGCCTAGCCTTTAATTAGTGTTTAGGCCAGCATTTAGGTGGAGCGTTTTAATGAATGTACATGCATTATTTGAAACGAAAGAGTTGCCATGACTTTATCCTAACCCCCTAGGGTATATATAAGATCAATGAAATCTGAAGTAGGTTTAAATCTGACCAATGCATCTGGGTGTACATGTAAGTTCAGTTTTACAACAGGACTATGAAGGGCTGCCTACTTTATACAGCAGGCTTGGCTGTCACTGTATTTCTCCCCATTCTTTCATCCCTCTAACAGCTTACGCGTGTTCCAACCTGGTACAGCTGACTAGCATAGCAGTGTATCGCTGTGTGACATATCTCATGTGTGTAGACGTCTGGTGGCTCATCTTCACCAAGTAAGATACTGGGATTGTTTTCTAGTTTATTTATAAATCGGCAAGATGATTTCACGATATATTTACCTTTGATGAAGGTAAGAAGCGTACTGGTTCTTATCTGTATGGGTCAGTGCGAAATGTGACTCGCTTAAACAGATGGATCGCGAAAGGTCATTGATTTTTTATGCCTCGCTTGCAAAGCTGAAGGGGCATACTGCGTTTGCCTTGACGTGTGCTTGCGTCTGGGTCGAGGCAAAGATCAAAACAAAGATGGTGGTTTTCCCAGTGGAGATGGTTTTTGTGATGACAAATTAATGTCATGAGTTGAGGCATAAGCTTGGCGGTGCATTTGTGTATGTCAACACATCACTCTCTCTCTTTTTTTTTAACAGGAGGACAACTTTAGGGCTGCTAGGAGGTTTAGCCTCTTTATTAGGCCTCGGGTCAGTCAGTCAAGCAGGTAGCGCAGCAGCGGCGGCAGCCATGACGCCCGTGATGCTGCGAGAGAAGGAGCGAAAGCGACGATCCTGCTGCTTGTGTCTCTTTCTGCTGCTGGGAACGCTAGCATGTGAGTCCGAGTTGTATCACAGGCATCACATTTCTTCCTTGAGTTCTGACTTGTTCATTTCTTGGGTTCTGACAGATAGCAGATTCAGAGGAGGACACATCTGTGGTGCAACCCACCCCACTGCTAAGTTTTTGCATTGGTTTTTTTTCAATTAGTTGGCATTTGTTGTCAGCATGCATACGCTGCATTTACACCTGCAGGTTTCCCTTCCATTTTAGACATCTCTCCTCCTTTTTATCAGTTCTGTCTTACTTCAGAAGGTTGCAGTCCAAATTGGAGAGCTTCTTTTTTTGTTACAACTTTAGAAGTCACAATGCATAACCACTCCAAAGACGGGTCATCTTTGGTGTTGATGTTATTCTGCTACATCCTATTGGACATAGATTCCGGTTTCATAACCCTGCAAAGCTCATGAAATTTCCCAGCATGTAGTGCATGCCAGCCTATTTGCGAGTCTTTCCTGTATACCTGAACTAGTAATTATGGATTTGTTATGTACCCACCTGAAGTAAGCTTGAAAAACAAGTCTTTTCTTTGGCTCCAGGACAGTGTTAGATAAACGGTGCTTATAAAAATGAGACGTTTCAAAATTCCCTGAGTAAAGAGCAGAAGCCAGCATTCATAATTAATCTGGAATTTGTTAATCCATCTGTTACAGCTTCTTATTTGTTGTTGGCTGCAGCGCCTTTCTTACTGGCTGCAGTATCAAGGAATGAGACAAAGGTTAGTTTGAATTAAGTAAAGTGTCTCAGATTGATATTGCTTAAAGTACCACGAGTCTAAACTTTTGGTCAGTTTGTCACTGAACCACTCAAAACTGCCCAGCCTGTTATTTAGGGCTTAAATGTCTTAATAATCAATAGCTTTCTGGATTCTCTTGTTAAGGAATACTTTGTAATGTAATGTATGCAGATTCTGATGGACAAGATTTAGAAATGAGGTGATCGTCTCTTTACTCCTCCCTGCTGTTTTCCAGACCGACTCCCCTCTTCACCCTGTGGAGGAACAGCTGGGTCTGCTCCTAGGCAAGATGGGAAGCACCTCGGAGGCTGATGGGGATGGGTCCACGGCTGCCTTCATTGCTGGCAGTGGCTGCCTGCAGTGCCTTAAACAGGATGACCTTTTGGCTTTGATAGGGGCCGTAGTCAAGGGTCAACTGAAGGACCTACAGTCAGAGGTCATGTCACAGAAACAGCTGATTTTGAATGTGAGTGAACAGATCTTCCCCTGTCAACGTTCAAAAGTTTGTTTCAGCGGTGGACATTTCAATTTTAACTACAGTATTTGTAAGGGTTGTTCTTTTCCTGTGTTCTCGTGTTCAACACTTTCATTTCAGTCCACATTTCCTAAAGTTTTGTAGATTTCCTCAAAGATGAATTGGATTGTTATTCTGATTTTTCTTGTCGCAACTTTACAGTCTGTCGGTTATACAGAGTGTTAACCCTCCTTTGGTTTTACAGCACAAATATGCACGAGTGCCCACAGTCACTCTCTTTTGTATGTTTTTTCTATATGGAACACAAACATGCACAGGTTCAGTGTGTACACAGAAGGTTGCCAACACAAAATGACCCAGAGTCTTTTGTGCAGTCCTCTTCACTGCATTTGGTTTATTGCACAATTAAGCAGATGAAACAGTGAAGCACAGTTGTTGGGCAGCAATCTGATATTCCTGTGAGGGAGAGTTGGTGCAGTGCACAACATGACACAGCTGTGCTCTTCAGCATAGGAGGGCTAATGGGATAAACTCTGATATAGCCACAAATCATATTTTGAATTTGGGTCATTTAACATGTATAGATGTTAGGCTGTTACAGTACGAATTGTTATTGGGAGCAGTTAGTTGTTGCAGCCAAGTGCTGGAACAAATAAAGTTATTGGGTCGGTTCATATTCTTGATGGATTGACAGTCTACTGGTCCCTGGTACACTTCTTGGGTCATTCAAATCTCTCATGTCATACAGAAACTTTTAGCTGGAGATGAGACAAAGTTTTTATCTGTGTATAAATTTAATTGCTTGGTCTGTCTGTTTGTTGTTCAGATGCAACAATTAAGGATTGATCAGGAAGTCCAAATTAAGAATCTTCAAGACCAGATTGGCCTCCTGATGGCTTCACAAGACCGGCCAAATGACCGCACACTCCTCTACCTCAACACAATGGAAGGTCAGCTGACCAGAGTCAAGGGTCAGCTACGCAATCTGCAGCTCAGTCAACTGCAAGGCGAGCGCGACTCAGAGAGGGATGGGCTGGAGAGATCAGCGATCTTTGCGGGACTGAGCAGCGACCTGCAGACTCATGGCAAGGAGGTGGCAAGTCTGCAGACAGAGCTGGAGAGCTTCCGCGAGCAGCAGGTGCTGGAAATGAACAAAGCCCAGCAGGAGGGCAAGGATGCACGCAGGGAACTGCATTCCCTCCATGCCACCGTGCTCTCCTGGGAGGAGAGATTGGCCGTAAATGTCACCTTCCTGGAAACCAAACTCAAGGGGTTACTCAACGACATAGAGCAGCTGAAATCAGATGAGCGTCAGAGTAACGCCAAGCTGGAACAGCTTGTGGAGCGGGTCAACTCCTTTGAGTTGGGATTCTCAGATGTTAAGACTGAGGTCCATACTTTGAGGTCCAAGTTTGGGGACCTCCTTGCTAAGCAAGAGAAGATAGAGAAAACAGAGGCCGTAGATTTATCACTTCAGCTTCTGAGGAACGATTTCGCATCTTCTCGTGAAAAGACTTTGGACTCACTTAAAGAGTTACAGAGCAAATACCAGACACTCAGTGGTTCGCTCGATGGAATGCAGAAAGACATAAAACATGTACATGCATCACTCGGTGATCTTGAAAGCCAGCAAGTCGGAACACTGATATCCGAATTCAAGCAGCTGAATGCTAAACTTGCCAAATTAGAATCAGACTTTAATTCATTGCAGGCTAACTTCTTGACATTACAGGGTACTGCATCCGGAACGGCAGCCACAAATGGATTGGAGGGGCTGCGTGTAAGCATCTCAAAGGCAGAAGAGCAGTTAAATGTCTTCGCAATAGACGTTGATTCACTGAATTTACAGTTAACACAACTAAGGAAGCAATTGGAGGACATAGGAATGAGGCACGAGGAGCACAGATCGCAAGCAGGGGCAACTTTTCAAGATCTTAGGCATGACATGGAGAAGCTAAATGCCAAATCTGACTTGATGGTTAAGCAGCTAGCAGAGGATCTGGGAGCAGGAAGGCTAAGCCAGCCTCTTGAAGGAGACAGGGATCTCCTCACTGAGGTGAACAGCTTAAAAGAATCTCTAACATCAGCCAAATCCCAGATCAACTATTTCGACACCACTCAAATGCAGATGACTCGCACGTTCACAAGCAGCATTTCGGATCTGCGCAATAGTGTCAGTGAGGTAAATCGAGCTATTGAAGATCAAAAAGCTGCCGTGGTTGCTCTCAATTCAACAGTTGTTTACTTGCAACAAGGACAGGACAGGCTTGGGACGTTTGCAACTCGCAAGCAGCTGGAAGACTTGGAGATTGAAATGACAAACATAAAAATGACAGTCAGTAAACTTGCAGCAGCTCAGAGTGTCTATGCATCAACAGGTGACGTTGAGGCTTTGAAGTCACGAATTAGTGATGTCAGATTGCAAATTGAAACTATGCAAGCCCAGCTGACTGAGATGAGCAACACGTACGTGGGTGAGGCTGCATCGTACACCACCCTTACAGCTGATCTAGCCAAGATGCAGGCTACCATCACGCAGCTCGAGGCAATACTCTACGATGCTGATCACCGACCAATGAATCTCTCGCTCCTGGACTCCAGGATTAGTGCCCTGACCTCGATGGTCCAAGATAATGACAAGAATCTGGCAGCGTTCCTCGCAGACGGCGCCATGAGGGAATCCACCAGCTCAAATGAGGCTGTTGTCACATTACAGCGAGAACTAGCTGCAGTCAAATCGGACACAGATAGCCTGTTGGGTATGTTGTATCTCCAAGGAGCGGAAGGAGAATCAACAAGTGTTGTGGCTGCATTACTGGATCGAGTCACTGCAGTGGAGTCCACTCTGGCGGGGATGAAGGCTTCAGGGGTTGGAGCTGGCCAGGACATCAGGTTCCAGAGACTCCAAGGAGACATCAACAGCCTTAAGGAGGACATGATGCGACAAAATGCTCTGCACAGCGCAGGGTGAGTTGGATTCCCGTAGGCTCTCTTTAGGAACTAGTGAAGATGCCATATAGTGTACGTTCAAGAATCAAAGTTATGCAAAGTCTGTCATTGCCTAGGTCATACACAGTGCACAATGCACATCAGTGATTTTTCTACAGAAAGGAACTACATGTTGTGCTTTCACTGCCCAGAGTCAAGTGAACTTCTCGTTTCCAGTCTTTCAGTTTAATTTGTTTGAGCACAAAAACATCAAATTACTGCCAATGTGATTTGGCCCATTAAGAAACTTCCTGATGGAAATGAACTGATTGGGTTTTTTTCTTTTCTTAGTGCTGGTCTGGGTGTTCTTGGAGCCAGCATACAGGATGATATGAAAGAAGCCAAGGCCAACATTACCAGGCTGCAGGTGGATGTCTATAAATGTTGCAAGAACAAGACAGGGCTACTGGTAAGCCTAGTGAAGTCTTCTCTGTGATAATGATCAATTTCGGTCACAATGAGATAAGCTTTATATCTTTGTCCGAAGAATAGTCTGAGTTTGCCCAAATTTCGGCGAACAGCTACTGTCAATTTGCTTTCAAAATTCAAAGGTCCAACGAAAGGGAAACACTTTGGAAATGGAAAGTGGTTACACTTGTGTTTCAGGGCTGGTGGAATTCAGCTTGGTTTGGTGGGAGCCAAGGCTCATCGACTGGCACTGTCAACCTCAGCACCTCCGGAAACATGGACGAAGAGGTAAACGTCAATATGTGAACTTACTGCTGGGGTGCCCTGCTCATTCAGTGAGCTACTGTATGGTCTCTTTTTCTGCCTGTTTGCCTACTCTATTCTTTTGAGTGTGTGGAAATTCCTCATTACTGTACCAGGCTAAAGATATCCAGGGTAATGGAATTTGGAAGGGAAACAGCATATTTTAGGTTCACCTTGAGAGAAAGCAGGCTCGAAGAGGGAGGAAAGCACACCTTGGGCGTCATCCTCCACAAGGACATTTTGCTTGGGAAAAACTATTTGTACATGTAGAGGTTTTGGCTCTGTTCCTAGGGAGATATCTTTAATACTTTTGGGTTAATACACTGTTTTTGTTCTACACCTTTGGATATCGAAGGACTTGGGGGTGATATTCCTGTGTCTTTGGGTGACAATGAACAATTGTTGACCGCTGTGGTGTAGGATATGACATTTTGAACACCCTCAGGCACGCATAGTGCCCTCGACTTGGCCTCGGGGCGCTATGTGTTCTAAACATCGTATCCCACACCACAGAGGTCAACAATTGTTTTTCATACTTCTGTCTTAAGGACTTTATCCAAAGAAACGAGCTCTGAATTTCAGAAGATGATAGGCCTACAGTCAAACTGGACAATTAACGTAACAGGCGTAAACAATATTGTCTGCAAATGCATTGTTCCCTCACTTTTTTAAGTGCGTAAACCTTAATGTGAAACTAGTGGGGGTACCAGTGAGTACATCTATATAGTCCGGTTAGTGGACCCCGCATTACCTTATACGATGCGGAGACAGGAACGAGTCTGTTATGTGAGTGCAATCATTGACAGAATTCCCTGGTAGCCTATGTACAAAACGTATCATGGGTACCATGCAAAACTGACTAAAGGACCGCTCTCGAACTTCCCAAAGCTCTTCTGTCGCGTGTGTGCGTGCACGTACTGTCGGTAGAATGAGATGTCATGTGATCGTTCTGGGCCAATAAATGGACAGTATCCAAGACAGAGGTATGACAGTTGTTGACGGTCCTGTTGTCAAGTGCCTGATGTTTTTAATTGGATACGCAGGCAGTGAGGCACATTGTTCTGAGTGCCTTGAACATGTACAGCGCCGACAAGACTGGCATGGTGGACTACGCACTGGAGTCAGCTGGAGGGAGTGTTATCAGCACTCGGTGCTCAGAGACTCACTACTCAAAGACGGCGTTACTCAGCATATTTGGTATTCCGCTCTGGTACATGGCCAACTCGCCACGCACAGTCATACAGGTATCGTGAGGTTATGATTATAATTACTCAGAGTAGCCTTTAGAGTACTAATACACTGGTATAATTCTGGAGAGGTTTCCACACACAGTCACAGATGTGTTGCTGGGTTGGAATATGATCTTATTGGGTGGGTACAGCTAAAAGCCTGGAAAAATTAAATAATGAATGAAACAGGCCACTTTCAAATTTGGATTTTTCTTTCAAGATGTATTTTTTTTGCGTTGGGAGATGCCGA